TCTGTAAGTTCCAGAGTAGTCTCTTACTCATTTTTTTTCTCTCTGCTGGTAATTCCTTCAATACATGAAGAATAGCTCATTCAAGATGATGTTGTTCTTTTCAAAATTATCCATATCCCATTAGGAGATTCTGGATAACCATAATACTCTCCAGTGAAAAATGCCAACAGCCATGTCCTTGTATACAGGACAACTGGGCATGGCATTCTTAAATAATCTGGTATGAGGGGAAAGCAGGGCCAGTGGTGAAGAGCCCAGCTGCCTGGGTTGAATCCTAGCCTTTGTTTCTTTCAGGTCCCTCTGCACTTGTCTAATCTGTAAAGGCAGATAGTTGCATTAAGTTTTGCTAAGGGAGAAAAACAAATTAATATTGCTTGTCACACAGTAAGCACTACATAAAAGATATTACTAAAGAACAAATAAATGAAATATATGACCACATTTCATGAGTGAGGCATTTAGTCCAACAATGATGATTCTAATCAAGACAGTGCCCTGAAATGGAGTTTATCCAACTTCTTGCACCTCCCAGAAAAGCTCTGACTTGAATGCGCCTGTATACCGGTCCCCAGCTTCCTGACTCAGTGTCTGTTTCTGTCAGCAATAACTGTCAGACAGTCTCTTAGTAGCATGGCATTTTAACTTTCCCATTTCTTCTCCATCGTCTACTCTGCCACAAGAAATATATGTAGAACACATAACAGTGAACATATTATCTCCTCGCTCCATTTATCTATGATGTCCATAGGTAATCTCCATTTATCAAGGCGTCACCCTTTCATCTGGTCCTCTGCAGACATCTGTCCAGCAGCGCCCCCTGCTGGACCACACAGGCTCAGCGGCGAGTGCGCCTTGCTTTTCCTGCATTATCACATGGCATGAATTTTCACACTTCTGTATCTTTACTTATGTGTTCCCTCTTGATTAAAATTACATTTGCTTCTCTAATTATGGTTTCCTCAATTTATTTTTTCAAGGCAAACCACACATTTCCTATTCTCCATAGACCGCCTTCCCTCAAGAATATTCAATTTCCCTCCCCATGTTTCTCCCACATCAGATGACATGCTGTGTTTTATTCATATGTGTACTTTCAAAATAAATATGAGGTCAGTTGTGGTGGCTGATGCCTGTAATTTTAGCACTTTGGGAGGCCGAGGTGGGTGGATCACCTGAGGTCAGGAGTTCAAGACCAACTTGGCCAACATGGTGGTGAAACCCCATCTCTTACTAAAAATACAAAAATTAGCCAGGTATGATGGTGGGCACCTGTAATCCCATCTAGTCAGGAGGCTCAGGAAGGAGAATCGCTTGAGTCAGGGAGGCAGAGGTTGCAGTGAGCCAAGATTGCTCCACTGAACTCCAGCCTGGGCAACGAGAGCAAAACTCCTTCTCAAGAAAAAAAATAAAATAAGTAAGAATACTATGAGGTCAGGGACTGCTGTTTAATTCTTCTCTGATTGTCTGTTAATGCGGCACAATAATTGCAAAATTAATGAATGTGTGGGATTTTAAATGTATTTTCATGTGCACCAGCTGAATTTCCATGTTAGAACATATGTAACACCTCTAGCCCCCGGAAAGGTATTTTAACCTATTTTAGGTCTTTGTGTGCTGCTTTTTCCAGCAGCTATTTATTGGAATGTGCATATGTGAGTGTGCGAGTGTGTGTATACTTCTGTGTTTTATTCTAACAAAAATCCTAATCATTCTTTATTTTTGGCAACTCTTGTCCGTTCAGGACCCAAGAGCAAACTCAAAGGCTGTATTCTGAGCTCCAGAGAAGTATCTAATAATTTGTGAACATTTTGCACATTATTTGAGTGAATGTTAGCTTTGGCCATATAGAAATTAAATGGGAACACTCTCATAGCTTTCTTTGATCAACTTTCCCTGATAATTCTTAGCATCTCTTTGATGTGTACCAAAAGTATATTTCTGATGCATTCAGGGAAAACTCTCTTCTCATCCTGAAGTTCAGACAGAGCATTATTTGTGATTACCAGCTGTTCCGTTACATTTCTGGGGGAAAAATGTCCTGGAATGTACTGAAAATCAGCAAATGTGCTCATTTATGATTACTTGGCTTTGATGTATTATTTCATATTTCCACTCCTCAGAGTGGCTTTATCACTCAGAATGACTCCATGTTGGCCCCTCTCCAATATCCCATTGTAAGCATGAGTGACTTTGTGTAAAAACATAGAAAAATTATGTTCTATATTAGGGAAAGTATAATCTGCTTGTGCTAAAAGATTTTTTTCCCTCAAGATCTATCCACTTGAAATATTGTCCAGATTAGTCAGCCTGGTTTCATGAGCACTTGCGTGCTAGTGCCATCAATGAAGAAAAAATGCTGTCCTTGCTCATGAAAAAGCTTCTGTTTTTCCTAAAAAGACCTAATAACTTTTACAAAATAATTCTTGACTAATATAAGAGTATGTGATAGAGGACAAATTAATATGCATCAGCACGTGGGAAGAAAAGCAGTTTAGAGAAAGAGTTATCTTTGGAGGCTGCAGTATATGAATATATTCCCAACAATATTATAGAGTATTCTTTTACTACTCTGTAATATGGGATCAGACTCCCAGCAATAGCCTTGAAAATTCCAAGAAAAAATCCGGTATTATTTGCCAGGGATAGTGTGCTCCTTAAATTTAAGGATAGATTTCACATGTAAGTGATATAATATGATATTTGTCTTTCTCCGCCTGGCAATTTTCACTTTGCAAAATGTCCTCTAACCTTATCTATGTTGTTGCAAATGACAGAATTTCATACCTTTTTGTGGTTGAGTAGTGTTCCCTTGTGTATAAGTACCACATTTTCTTTATCCATTCATGTGTTGATGGGCATTTAAGTTGATTTCCTATCTTGGCTGCTGTGAATAGTGCTATAGTAAACTTGGGGGTACAGATGTCCCTTTGACATACTGATTTCAGGTCCTTTGGATATAGACCCAGTAATGGAATTCCTGGATCAGTTTTTAATTTTTAAGGAAACTTCATACTGTTTTCTGTAAAGGATATACTTCTTTCCACTAACAGTGATAAGTTAGCTTTTCTCCTCATCTTCACCAGCATCTGTTACTTTTTGTCTTTTTGTTAGTCACCATTCTAACTTGGGTGAGGTGGTATCACACTGTGGTTTTGTATTGCATTTTCCTGATAGTGATGTTGGAGTTGAGAGTAGAATCGTGGTTACCACACAGTGGGGCACATGGAAGGGTCAGAGTTGGGGAGAGGTTGGTCAGCAGGCAAAGTGTTACAGTTAGATGGGAAGAATAAGCTCTGTTACCCTAGAGCACAGTAGGATGGCCGCAGGGAACAGTAATGGATTGTATATCACAAATAGCTGGAAGAGAGGGTTTTGAGTGTTCTCACAACACATACATTATTAATGTTTAAAGTACACATATGTATGAGTTTATGTATATGCTAATTATCATGATCTGATAATTACACAAAATATACATGCATCACATTGTTTACCATGAATGCATACAATTACTGTGTGCTAATTTTTAAAAATTAAAAAAATTAATTAATTAACTCTGAGGATAAATATATATTCCTATGCATTTTCCCACTATCTTAAGAATGACTAGATAATTATTAAATGAAAATGTCATCTCTGAAGTGGTCATTATTCCTGTGGTCTTTTTGGTACAGAATAAGAGCTAAAGATTTTCTTCTACCTCAAAGGAATTACCTTTTGTGTCTGTGACAAATGGGAATGTTAAGTGCGCTTGCTAGGGAGAATATTTATATTAATGGGATTAATATGCATATTCTGGATAACTGACAAGACTTACGGATTTCTTTGGTGATTACTAAGGTGCTGGTTCAAAGCTACATAGTATAAGTTCAGAAATCTTTAGTGTATTTTCACAATTCCTCAAAGTATGTAAAGTCAACATATTGGATTAAGCATCAAAAATCTTGGATCTAAAAATACAAAAACATTAGCTGGGCGTGGTGGCACGCGCCTGTAGTCCCAGCTACTCGGAAGGCTGAGGCAGGAGAATTGCTTGAACCTAGGAGGCGGAAGTTGCAATGAGCCGAGATTGTGCCACAGCACTCCAGCCTGGCGCCGGGCGATGGGGCGAGACTCTGTCTCAAAAAAAAAAAAAAAAATCTTGGTCTTAAACTAGACTCCTGGCTGGGCGCCGTAGCTCACGCCTGTAATCCTAGCACTTTGGGAGGCCAAGGTGGGTGGATCATCTGAGGTCAGAAGTTCAAGACCAGCCCATCTTTAAAATAAATAAATAAATAAATAAAAATTAAAAAATAAAAAATTAATCTAGACTCCTCTGTTTTTAACTAGGGTAGTTTACTTCATCCTGTTACTCTTATTTCCTTCTAGGTATAAACGTGTGTGTGTGTGTGTGTGTGTGTGTGTGTGTGTGTGTGTGTGTTCCTGTTCATGCGTTTTGTTTTCATGCATGTCTGTGCATGTGTATATGCATGCATGCATATGTTTGCTTGTAACTAGCAATGCTGAAGTAGTGGAGTTTAGAGTTGGCTGGGGCAGTGGGAGGGGAAATGGAGAAATAGGAGTCTGTGCCTTCTTTCTCAAGTGATGGAAATGTTCTAAAATTGATTATAGTGATTGTTGCACACCACTGATTATATATAAAAGCATGAATTCTACATTTTAAAGGATTGAATTGTAAGGAATCTGAATTATATCTCAACAAAGCTATTACGTTTAAATTTTTAGATTACAATTATTAAGCAAAACTCTCATTATTTTAAAAATGTAGTGCATGTACTATAAGCCTTACCCCACACATCTCTGTGTGAATTTCGTGATAGTTTTGATTATCTGAGAGATCACCTTGTACCCATATTCAATATTCAATTTCAGACTCATGAGAGTGTGCTTTCACCGCCTCTTAAATGCTATTCACCATGTTTTGCTGTAAATTGGCCACAAAATTACAACCTATAAACTAAGTATATATTTCTCTCTCTCTCTCTTTTTTTAATCTGAAGACAAAGACAGGAATTTGTTTGCTGCAGGATGGTAACCAGGAGCCTTTCAAAGTCCGGCTGCACTTAGCCAAAGATATTTTGATGATCCAGGAACAGGATGTGATATGTGTGTCTGGTGAGCCTTTCTATTCTGGTGTAAGTAGCTTTTTCTTCTGTTGAAAATTTTGTGTTTGTTTTTGTTAATCAGAATATTTATTCACAGACCATTTTAAATATGTTTTTCTTTCAGCCGACTAGTTGAGGATTCTGCCTGTATTTTTTTTGCCTACATCATTAAGTACGCAGTTGCCCTGTATGACTCTTGCCCGGGATCCCTGAACACACATTTTGGGTCTATCTTCAGCCTGTTGTCTATGAATCCTAGCTGTCATCATATGATGGGAGTGACACTCACATTTTCTGATCATTCCACATTTGAAAAGTACATGTTGATGTCCTCTGCCCTGGTCTTATCTTGCATGCCAGGGTGATGCCAGGGTGGGGTCCATCCCTCAGCATCAATGAAGCAGGAGGCTTCAGATAGAAGTCACTGAACTCAGCCTGAATGATGTTCCCCTGGGATAGTGACTGAATGATTCTGTGGGTCTCCCTAATGGAATTATGCCCAAGTGCAAATTCTTTTCTGTAATGCTCCAATCCATTGATACATTACACTGCTGCTAATCTAGCTTCAGAAAGAGCCATAAATTACAGTGCAAAACTTACTTATGAGTGCTATACTTACTCATGTCTAGGCAGCGTAGCTGTGAAGACATACTTCCATGAGATTAGATTTTATTCTACAAAAAGACATCATCATAAAACAAGTTCTGGAGTTTATCATTCATTGTGTAATAACACCCTTAAAGGCATCTTTGTAACAACGCTGCCTTATGTGATCTCAGAAGAAGATGATAGGCAGTACCAGGTAGTCTGCTCCCTGCTTTGCCCAAACATCTGCAGCTATTTAGCATGAATATTTAATTTGCACCTTATTAACAGTTTTACCTTGGAGTGTTTAGTTGGTGGTGAATAATGCTGAACTCCAGCTCTCACGTCACTTCTTACTAATACCCTATTGGAGTCACACAAAGCCCTAAATCAATAGGCCTTTGCCAACTAAATATAATGGACATTTTGCAGACTGTTAACTATTCTTTTGTCACAGACCATTTAAATCATTGTGAATCATGGGCCTGGATGTCAAGGCTGATTAAACTGTTCCCAAGGGGTTGTCCTTCCTTCCCTTTGGTTAATAATAGAGAAGTGGCATGAGACATATAACCCTCTAGAATAAATATATCACACTGGTGCCAGATCAAAGAAATAAAATCAGTAAAATTTAGTACCTCAATACTGAAATAATATTAATGATTTTAAATTTCACAGTCAGTAATAGTTGATACACATAGACCTACTCTCTCTTTTAAAAATAATTGTGCATATAAATAAAGCTCAGATGTTGGGAAGAATGAAGATAGAATTAAGGAGAAACATCTTATGGCATTGTCAACAAGCAAAAAAGCATTTGACAAAATTCAACATCCATTACAAAATACTTTCAGCAAGATATGAATAGACAAGAATTTTCTTAGTATGACAACTGTCATCTAACTAAAGCCTCTCATTAATATGTGAGTTAACATTGAACATCCTCTCTGAGATTAAAAGGAAATCAAGGGTAATATCTTGGCTCACTAATCGATGTTGTTTACTATGCTCCTACAGTAAGTCAAAATTATATATAAACAACAAAAATTATACAGGAAGAGGCAAAGTGGCTTTACTTACAGATTCTAGGATGGTATGCATAGAAAACCTTAAGAATTCTACAAAAGATAGAATAATACAAATATTTAGCCAGGTTGCTGGGAATAAGGACAATAGCCCAAGTTAATTATGTTTCTAAAATTACCTGCAAGCAACTAGAAATAAAATAAAAATACAGTCCACGATACCTCAAAAAGACAATACATTTAGGAACAAATTTAACAAAATATGTATATGATATATATCCTGAAAACTATAAAAGTATGCTGAAGGAAGTTAAATAAATGAAGAAATAAAACATGATCATAATTTGAAAGGTAAATATTGACAAGCTGTGACATCTTTCCAAATACCCCAAACCAGTCAAAACCCCAAAATATTTTCATAGATATGTACAAGTTGATTCCAAAATTTACATGGAAATATAAGGACCTACAACCAGGACACTCTTGAATAAAATAAGCAAAGTTGGAGTGTTTATTTTACCTGATTTCAGAGCTTACTATAAGATTCTAATAATAAACAGTGTGAAATTATAATAAATTCAGGCATATGAGTCAATGGAACATTATAAAGAGTCCAAAAATAGACCCACTCTTATATGGTCAGCTAGGTTTTGTTTTTTAATTGTGGTAAAATATACATAATATAAAATGTACCATCTTAACTATTTTTAAGTATAAAGTTCAGTAGCATTTCGTGCATTCACTTTGTCGTGTAACTGTCGCCACCGTTCATTGCCAGAATATTTTTCAGGCCATACTGAAACTCCAGACACACTGAATAGTAACTTTCTATGCTCTCCTCCTTTTAACCTCTGGTAACCACTGTTCTGCTTTCTGCCTCCACATTTGACTATTCTGGGTAACTCTTGTAGGTGGAATCATACAATATCTGACCTTTTGTGGATGGCTTCTTTCAATTGCCATGTCAAGATTCATCCATGTTGAAACATATATCAGGATTTCATTCATTTCAAAGCCTGAATAATATTCTATTCTATATTTATACCATCTTTTGTTTATTTACTCACTCAGTAGTGGACATTGTTTCCACCTTGGCTCTTTGAAAAATATTTCTAGGAACATGGGTGTACAAATATGTTTGAGTCATCACTTTCGATTATTTGCTGTATATACCCAGAAGTGAAATTGCTGTATAAAATAATAATTCTTTAACTTCTTAAGAAACTGCCGTACTCTTTTTCATTGTAGTTGTACCATTTGCCATTTCAACAAGCAAAATACAAGGGTTCCATTTTCTCCACCTTGATGCCAAGCCTGTTGTTTTCTGTGGTTTTGATAATAGCTATCCAAATAAGTATGAGGTTGAATCTCGGTGTGGTTTTCATTTGCATTCTCCTATTGATTAATAATGTAGAGCATCATTTTATATACTTATTTCGACTTGTGCATCTTCTTTGAATAAATGTCTATTCATATCCTTTGTCTATTTTTGAATTGGATTTATTTTGGTGCTGGGTTACAGGAGTCCTTAATGTATTTTAGATATTAATCCCTTATCAGATATGTGATATGCACATAATTTCTTCCAAATTGTGGGTTGCCTTTTTACTTAATAATAGTATTTTTAATGTACAAAAGTTTTGAATTTTAATAAAATCCAATGTCAATTTTTTTCTTCTATTGGTTGTACCTTTTGTACCATCTCCAAGAAATAATTGCCAAATTCAACGTCATGAATCTTTCCCCCTATATTTTCTTCTAAAGTTTTATAATTTTTGCTATTACTTGTAGATTTGGTTATATTTTAAGTTAATTTCTGTACATGGCATTAGGTAAGGGTGCAACTTCATTCTTTAGCATTTGGATATACAGTCCAAAATCATATACCGTATACATAAACATTTATCTGTGGGCTCTCTATTCTAGTTTATTGGTCTATATATTTGTCTTTATGCCAGTAACACACAGTTGTGTCTTTTGTTTGTTTATTTTTACTGTAGCTTTATAGAAAATTTTGAAACCCGCTAATTTGGGTTCTGTAAGATCTCATATAAATATTAGAATGGCTTTTTCTATTTCTTGAAAAAATACCATTGCAATTTTGATAAAGATTGTGCTGAATATGTAGATCACTTGTAGTAAAATGGACATCTTAATAATAGTAAGCTTTCTGATAGATGAACATGGCATCTTTCCATTTATTTATGTGCAGTCTAAGTTCCTTTAGCAATGTTTTGTTGTTTTCAGTGTACAAGTTTTTCAGCTCCTTGCTTAAGTTAAACACTTAGTATTTGATAATTTTTGATAATATTTTTAAGAAATTGATTCCTTAATTTCCTTTCTGGATTATTTATTGGGAGTGCATAGAAATGTAATGGATTTTTAAATTTTGATTTTGTATTCTGCTACTTTGCCGAATTTATTAGTTCTAATGGTTTATTGTGGAATGTTTATAGTTTCCTACATACAAGAATGTGTCACCTGTGATTAGAGATAATTTCACTTATTCATTTCAAATTTGGATGACTATTAGTTCTTTTACCTGCTTTATTACTCTGGCTAGGTTTTACAATATTATGCTGAACAGAAATGGTAACAGCAGACATTTTCTTCTTATTCAAGATCTTAAAGAAAAAGCTTCACTTTGGAATATGATATTTGCTGTGATTTTTTCATATACAACCTTTGTAATGGTGAGGTCGTTTTCTTCTATTTTTAGTTGGTTGAGTATTCAAACAGTGTTGAATTTTATCATGGAAAATATTGAAATTTGTCAAATGCTTTCTCAGAACCAATTGAGATGATCATGTGTGTTTTTTAAATTTTTTTTCTTCTGTGCTACAAGCTGCTTTCCTTACCTGAAAGTACTTCCTGGGACGCCTGTCCCAGGAAGGAATTCTATCTTCTAGGTCTGCATCTAGGGAAAGGCAATCTACAATAGAGAATGTAGCACATTGTACTTTCAGATTGCCAGATTTTCTCTGGGAAAACTCCCTTTCTCTGTTTTTTAAGACCTTCCTCTGGTAAAGGCCCTGACACCTCTGTATTAAAAAAGACCCTCTTTAAACTTGACCCTTCACAGTGCATTGTTTGTGTTGTATTGTCGTAAAACGTAGTCCATGTGCTCTCTAGATAGGGGTCATTCCACTTATCACCTAACTAGAAGATGAGTTTAATACAGTAAGAGATTAGGGCAGAGATAATCATCCAACTTTGGAGAGCAGAAAGTCATATATGAGTATTACAACAAATAGAGTGCTAAATCTCAATCTGCTTCAGTGAGTGGAAAGGTTAAAAGAATGTTCCAAGAAAAGGCAGATGTTTTTCTAAAAAGCCCCAGGCAAGGATGCTATTTTGTTATCTAGTATCAATGCTCTGAAGGCCTGAGTGGAAAATGGGACAGTCAGGGCCAGGGGACTG